AAAGGGGGCTTACAACAAAGATGGGGACAAACTTTTTAGCAAGGCCTGTTGCGATAGGACAAGGGGTAATGGTTTTAAACTAAAAGGGGTTGATTTAGACTAGATATAAGTAAGACTTTTTTTACAATGAGGGTGGTGAAACACTGGCAGAGGTTTCCCAGAGAGGTGGTAGATGCCCCATCCCTGGAAACATTCAAGGTCAGGTTGGACGGGGCTCTGAGCAGCCTGATGTAGATGAAGATGTCACTGCTCATTGCAGAGGGGTTGGACCAGGTGACCTTTAAAGGCCCCTTCCAACCCAAACCCTTCCATGACCCCTTTGCCCTCCCCAGCATAGACAGAGGGTTTTTGGGGCCAGTTTGCTGATATGCATGTGACTGAGCACCAGCTGCAGGAGGTGCAGCTCCCCAGGATGAAGCCATGGGAAGGGAAGGAAGGGACACTGGCCTGGTTACGGTGGTGGGGTCACTGCAGGAATTAGGAAGGACAAGGAGAGTTCACGCACCCAGGACCTTCACGGAGTAGTTCTTCACGGCCTCCCCAGCTTCGTTGGCCACGACGCAGCTGTACGTGCCCGCATCCTCTTCCTGGGCGTTCAGGATCTGCAGCCCGTGGCCACCTGGGCAAAAGGGGTCTCCTGAGAGGGTCACCGCTCACAGTCACAGCTGTCTATCCCCATACAGCACAAGAAGGCATCTTAAGGGACCTGCTGATCAGCTGCAAGCCTGACTTGAGGGAGTCTAATACTCTTCTAGAGCCCAGTTTCCAGGCTTATAAAAACCAGCGCTCTCTCACTGATGGTGCTGAGGGGGCTTTAGCTGTTATCAGATAATGCAGCACATGGAAGAGCAGCATCCACCTGATGGCCTGAGCCCGTCAGGTCCTGCAGGGTGATGACTTCTCACCATCCCACTGGCCTGGACTACAGCCAGACCAAGAAAAGTCCCTGCTCCTACTCCCCCAGGCATGCAACAAGGGGCCACCGCAGTCATGCAGAGCCAGCGGACACCAGCACAGTACCAGGGTGCAGGAGGACATTTCTAGATGCTTTGAGGGGAACTTCATCCTTGAGCCAGGTGATGTTGGGAGATGGGTATGCCAGAGCCTCACAGACCAGGGAGATGGGGTTGTTGATGATCACTGTGACTTCTTCTGCAGCAGCATCATGGGCATCTCCAGCAAAGGCAGGACTGGCTGCAGAGATGTGTTTGTGTGGCAGATCAGCATTAGCACCCACTTAGGCTTCCCAATGCCTCATCCTTCCACCAGAGACCATGATTGGAGTTCAGGGAGTTGGACCTGACCACAGCTTGTGAAATGCACAGCACCTACAGCACAAGCCCAGCTTCAGATCCTGCCCTGTCTTGCTGCCCTCCAAAAACACAGGGGACACAGAAGACACACTCTTCCTTCCCACAAGCCAGCATCAGAGATGGATCCTGCACTAGATGGACCCTTTATGTTCCTCCAAGAGGTCTCACAAGGACTTTGGGGCAGGTCCAGGAGCCCATGCCATGCTGCTGGCTGTAAGACTAAGGGATCCTCACCACCTGCCTGGGGCAGGCAATTAAAAAGCCTTCTAAGTTCACGTCCCCTGCTCACACCAGAGACTCTGCCTCCATCCAAAGGTGTCTCGTACCCAAAACATCTAGCAGGTACCACTTGGTTTGATTCGCCACAGAGCTGGAGGCTGTGCAGGAGTAGCGGCCAGCATCAGACAGGGAGGCTCGGGAGATGTGGAGCACAGAGCCATCAGGGGAGATGGAGAAGGTGTCTCCGCCGGGCAGAGGGTGACCGTCTTTCAGCCAGGTGATTTTAGGGTGGGGGTTGCCTGTGTGAAGTGGAAAGTAGGTTTTGGTCTTCGTACAAAGTTTTTTCCGTGCATGAGCACAGCCTGACCAGGGTCACTGCGCCAGAGCTTTTCTGGGAAGCAGGGACATCAGCCCAAATCCAACATTATCATGATCTGGATCAGGTTTTTAGAGGCTGCTGGATGAGCCAACAAGAAGAAAGAAAACTGTCCTGAGTAGGAGGTGATTAATTATTCCCAACACTAGAGGAGAAACCAGATTAGAGGAATTTTAGCTCCGTTTGGGAAAGGTTGGAGCTTACATTATGGAACAAACTCCCTGCGTGGGTGCCCCCTCCCCAGCGCCTCCTGGACAGCCCAACTGCAAAGCCAGGAACTATCCCAAAAAAAGCTCTTCAACCGATTTCAGCTATCCTCATGTCATCGACTGGAGCCCTCCGTTTGCTCCACGCCCCAAAGGGAGGTTCAGGTCAGCTGTCCCCGAGCCCCAACTCCCACCTGCTCACACCACCTCCACTCCCCGCGTGATGCTCACCCGCAGCCAGGCAGGACCAGGTGACAGGGTGACCCTCAGGCACTTTGATGGTCTCTTCTTCACCCGCATTCTCAATGTGGGGAGGAACTAGGAACACAAGCCACCGAGGACCTCAGCAGCTGGCCAGCATCGCTGAGCCTCTGAGCTCACATGCTAAGGCACAAAGGACTCCATCACTGCAGCTCCCGCCATGCTCAATCTCAACTCATGCCTGTTCCTGCAAGAGTGAAGTTCTGAAATCCCACCAGGAATCCTACAGCAGATGGAGGACCCCTCCTTACCTAGGACTTCCACGTAGAAATGCCTCCTGGCCTCCCCAGCTACGTTGCTGGCCAGGCAGGAATAGTGGCCACCGTCCTGGGCTCGTGCACGGGTGAGCCGCAGCAGCCAGCCCCCTGGAAGCACGGAGCAGAGAGGTCTCAGGGCCTCGATCCAGGCACCAGCCCATCCCAGCAGTGCTCCTGTGGGGCTGGAGCTCCACCATGTTTAAACCCATCAGCATTAGGGCAAAATGTGTTCCTGAAGCACTCGTCTCTCAGAGCATCAGTGCCTTGTCCCTGACCTGAAAGCACATGCGTGTGCTCGCTGGGGGTGACAGGAGAGCCATCCCAGGACCAGGTGACGGTGGGCAGGGGAACACCGGTGGCCTCGCACGTCAGTGTCAGGGATCCTTGCAGAGAGACGCTGACGTTGGTTGTTGATCCTGATCCTTGAATGAACTCGGGAGGAACTGGGAACGCAGAAAAGGATGGAGATCCATTTGCAAAGCAGCCAAGACAGCAAAGGAGCAAGGCAAAAGGGGAAAACTGGGTAAACCTGGCTTGTTCACACCCTCCTGCTTTGTACAGTTTGAGAACACAAGCCTAGAAGGACCATCAGCATCATCTGAAGTTGTGGACTTTGAAGGTGTTATGGAACAGGTGACCCACAGCAAGTATATGCCGCTTACCTGCACTCCCAAGCCCACACTTACAGGTGTGACACCAAGCTGGCCACACGCCCTGAGCCACCTCAGGACCTTTTCAGCTCAAGTTGCTTGGTACCTTGACCCATGAGGTTTCCCCAAGTCCTTGGGAAGTAGATGACTTGATCAAGCGTGAGATGGTCTGCTCTGATGACCCTGGAAAAAAGCTCCTGCCTGATGGAGCCAGTTCTACAGCTGTGCCTGCAGCATACCCCTTCTGACCCAAGACCTTCGACATGCTGGGCTGTCCAAGGTCCACTCCACATCAGGTTGCTCTCTGTGCTTATGCTGCATCAAACGTGCGGTGGGACATCACAGCCCTCCCGAGCCTGCCTGCATCCATACCCCCCCAGCCACCAGCCCCATCCCACACCCTTACCGTGCACCGCAACATCAAACTCCCTCTGCTCCTGCCCCACCACGTTTGCCACCAGGCAAGTGTAGCGTCCTGCGTGGACCACCTCCGCCTCAGGGATGTGCAGCCGCCTCCCTTGCTCCGTAAGCAGGATCCCATCCCCGCTGGCCACTGGCTGCCCGTCCTTCATCCACGTCACCGTGGGCGGTGGTGTCCCCATGGCCTCGCACTCCAAAACCGTCTCGCCACCCTTGATGACAGAAACCTTCCTCGGGGCTTGGCTGCTGCCCTGGATCCACGGCAGCGCTGCGGGCAGAGGGACACGGGGTGGAGGTGAAGCTGTAGCAACTCCCTTGGCCGTATGCAAGTGGGTGTACAAACGCCATCGGTCTGGACAGCAGCAGCGGGAGGCCGAAGCAAAGGTGCAAATAGTGCAACTGGGCTGCTGGAGTGAAAACCAGCTGCAACCAGCTTGGAGCCAAGAGGAAAGCTGGAGGGGGGAAAGCTAGACCAGCTGGCAGCATCCTTTCACAAAACACCCGAGGCAGCAGGTGATGGCTGTGAGATTTTGGGTCCAGCTGGACCTCGTGTGGAGAGAGATCATGGCACCTTCAGCCACCTCCGCAGGTCCTCTGTGTCTCTGGGCCCCCTGGGCTCACCGTGCACCTCCAGGCGATGCTCCTTGCTGCTGCTGCCGGCGGGCTTACTCACAGGTGTACGTCCCCTCATCCACCAGCCGTACCTTCTCGATGTACAGCACAGTCCCTCCTGTGGACACCAGCTTCGGGCTCCCGGGCTGGGTGGAGAGGGGCTCACCTGCCCGGGGAAGGGGACAACAGCCTCCTCTCAGGTTCCCAGCAGGACCAGTTCCCACCCAGAAGCTGGATACTGCTCAACATAAAGCCCTCCTTGCTCCAAGGAGACCAACATCTGTCTGGTGGGTCAACACATGCGTGGGGAGGGGTGATGCTGAGGAGCAGGACCCTACCGTCCTTCCACCAGCTCAGGCTGGGGACGGGGATCCCGTGGCACTCGCAGGCCAGCCTGACGGACTGTCCCTCCGGCACGGACACGGCGGTGGGCTCTGCCGAGGAGAAGGACGGGGGCACTGCAGGGGATGAGAGGAGAGGGGCAGCTCGCTGATGGCACCGCATAAGAGGAGAGGAGCAGCTCCCTGCCAGAGCTCCGTCCTGCTAACTACACACCACCTGCGGCTCCGCTGGCCTCCAAACCAAGAACCAGTGGAGCCTCCCCTGCACTGGCTCCATGTGGAAATAATAATCTTGACTCTCCAGCTATTAAGCAAGTGATGCTTTTAATTGCACGTGGCCTACAGCAGAGGATGACCAAGCATCCCGAGCCAGCCACACAGGCAGGCACAGCCCTTTTTTTTCCAAGCCCAGGTTGGCCAGACGCAGCCTTATTAGGTAGCACTGCTCGCTGGGAAAGTTACCTAACTCTTTCCATTATCAGATGCTGTTCTCGGTTGCTCATAAATACAGCTGGCTGGAAAATGGTAACTCCTTCCCACGAGGGATATCAATTTATAGAAGAAAAACCCCAACACCCAGAAACCCCTGAAAAACAAAAACAGCAGAACCCAAACAATCCACCCGAGCCAGGACACCAGACGTGCAAACATTTCCCTGGGAAGGGATCGCAGGAACAAGCCCGGAGCAGGAGAACTGGATTTTCTCCACTCCCTGGCTACCTGCCTGCAGGACTTCCACCAACTGGCCTAAAGCATCCCTGAGAAAAGCCAGACCCTGGCTCAGCCCTCAGGGCTGCGGACGTGCTGAACGGGCCGGGAGGCTGCAAGGATGCTGGAATTGCGCGAGAGAAAGGGGCCGGTGCCTGTCCTGGCAGTGGTTCCCGGGAACCACCGCTGGCATCTTCCCGACTCGGGCAGGGGGAGAGAAATGGGACGACACCTGAAGCGCCCGCCATGCTGACAAAGTGCAAAGCAAGGACAGAGAAGCCCTGGCAATGGCAGGGAAAACCCTTCGCTCTCCTGCCCAAATTTTGGGAAGACACCTTTTGTGCATCGTCACTGAAATCTGCCCCCGAGACTCAGGCAAACGTTGGCTTTTTCCCCTCTGATACCTGTTCTGGTGGGGATTCTCTACCACCTCCGGCTCCATCATTTTGCAGAGCTTTAATATTCTGGACTTGGCGTTTTCCAAGCCAGTCAACTACCCCAGGTACACATTATACATATAAACAAATGGTATATAATATAGTGTGTGTGTATATGTATGTCTGTGTGTGTATATACACACACTATATTTGCCCCGATGGGCTGTTTCGGCCGCAGTGGCCCTTACCCCACACGTCGAGGTTGTAGTGTTTCTCCGGGTGGCTGGGCACCAGGCACGTGTACCTGCCCGCATCCTGCTCGGTGGCTCGCCCGATCTGCCGGAGCAAGCAGAGACACCAAGAAGCTCTGCAGCAGAGCTGGACCCATGCGGCCCCTCCATGGGGGGATTTTGTGCCAGCAGGGACCATGGGGATGGGATCAGCACGAGGGGTGGAAATGGTGCTGAGCCATGGGCAGCAGGGAGGGACGTCCCTCCCTCTGCACGCACTC